ACTTCGAAGTCGAAGCTCTGGAGGAGGTGTAATCAGTGCGCTTTGCTCTTCTGTCATCTGAACTTTTCCCTGCAATATTGAAGTTGACGATGGCTCCAATCGCATGGGAATGCTCGATGAGCTGGGTCTCCTTGGCCAGTCCATTTGACTTTGAGAATATGAAAGAGAAGATGGGCCCTCTTCCAGCGAGGAGTCGAGACGCATGAGGCCAGCCTTGAGTCAAGTCAAAGACATATTAAAAGAAGTATTAGAAATAGGAATGAACGTGAACGGGCGTCATGGCCTGCAGAGCATCGGAAGGAACGAAGAGATGGTTAGGGACATGCGGGAAAAGAAAACCGTGAAGGATCAAAGAATCCACAATACGAGGGAGGGACCCAAGAGATGGGGTAAGATCTAAACTCTATCGCGGACCTTACTACCACCGTTTCCCTCCACCGTCCGAGGGTTACATTCGCTCGTTGTACCCAGAATCGTGAAGTTTTACTATGGCATTGCCGCACCCGGACACCTGATGCACCTTGAACATGCATGCATTGGTGATCATACAGACCACCGGGTCTAGATGTGCACTTGCAAACCGTCAAGATGACGTTTTGGGCCACGGGAGACCCAGATAGGCCAGTGTTGGTGGAGTTTGGTTGTGTTGTGAGTTTCAAGAGCTTGCGATCCGAGCTCCGAATTCATGCGATGGCAGCCCGTTTGGTACACTTGTCACTCCGTTCACTCTTTCTGACAGCTGTGAAGCCGTCCATCGGACGAGAAAATCAGACGAGTATCTGCACAGTCCAAGCTTTCGCAGCTTCTGAAAGGCTCGATGAAATTGGACATATGGGTGATGAAAGGGGTGCTGTACATTGGTACCACGTTGATGATATCGTGAGGTGGTTGAAGGTTGCGGGGTTTTCTTCGTCTGAGATAGGCTTCTTCGCTAATTTTAGCGGGTGTTCGCTTGCAATATTTAGGCTTTGTCACAGCCGAAAGCCCCCTGAAGACTGGAAAAACAAGAAAGCTTCGCAGCGAAAACGAATCGAACTTTCAATACAACCATGCTATATGTTATACACAGCAAGAAGAGCCATATTATAGCAAGTGCACGCTAGGCATGAGTTCTTGAGAGAAGTTCAACACACGTTTCACCAACCGTTCAAAGCGTCTTAATTCAGCCGGGGTTCTGAGTTAAGCATCGCCCTATGACATCCTGGCACCTTCAGCCCTCTGATGCACCAATGGAACGATTACAGAGGTCTCTTGACGAAGTTACTGAAGTGCTCGGACTGGATGACACAATTGAATCTAATGATCATATCGCTATTGGATTATCGCCCTGTTTATATATGAAGAACTCCAATCCCCAAAGACGCCGACAAATGCTCACGAAACTCCAAGCCACCTTACTCATTTCAATGCCGTCCATTACCATTCGTTGTATCCAGCGGTGCAACCCATAAACAGTTTCCTGCCCATTCTATCTCCAGTCTATTCATCCTTTTCTTCCGGTTCTAAAGCAACGCAGCATCGCATTGTGTATCCTCTCAACAGAAACGGTTCACGCAGCTTCGCCTCAATAGAAATGTGAGATGTGCGTCTCCTATCCCATGCATTCTCTTACAGAACACTCATGCCCTCATGATCCCATTCATCCTCCAAACTCTTCAGCCTTGCAAGAAACTCCTTCCAACTTTCTGGTGACGTGTCTGATTCGAACTCAATTGTAATGTTCTCGCTCCGTCCATCGTTTATTCTGCCTCCCATAGCATCCGGAGTTTCAACACCGCATTTCTTGATGTCGAGCGTTTTGCCGAATGCTGCATCGAGTTGGTTGACCACGTGTGTGAGGTGATGCAATGATTTGAATGCCTGTTTATCCGGTTAACGAATCGTTCATCCAGACAATGGCTTTAAAGTTCGGGAACAAAGCTTACGAATCTGCGACTCTGGCAGTCACCTCTTGCTTCCTGGTCCTTCAAAACGCTGACCCGAAGGTGCCACAAGGGCTCGTCCGTAGTCTCTGTGCTGTTTTTTGGTTGCCATAAGCAATGTTTGTCCTCCAGCTGGACCTTTTCTCCATTTCCGTGGAGGTCGCCCGAGCTGCAAGCGCTGAGTGTCATGACTCCGAGGTATCCTTTCATTGATGTGAGGTACCCTCTGTTGGAACCGATTGGCTCAGAAGTGTTGATGATGAAATGTAATGTCTTTATGTTTCGAACAATATCGTGTATGAGAACTAGATGTGGGTTCTCTTTGGCTTGTGGTTTGTGTTTGAAGTATCCTGGATATTGAATTGGATTTGATCCTGTCGGGAGAAAAGACATGATCGTGAGAAGCTCCCTTCCTTATGTACTGTCGCGAAGTACAGTGCGGTGAGAGTATATCCCGTATGGCGCAGCATTATCGTATCTGTGGCGTTCACTGGAGGGTGATCTGGCTGAGATGCGCCTTTGCGTCGTGGTGGTGTCACTCAAGCAGTGTTGACCCGTCTCATGGAGTCGTGGGATGCAATGATCAGACGTTGAATTGTAGTGCAGATTACCACGCCACTTTCCTTTCCAGGGCGCTGTCCACTGAAAAGTCAGTAAACAGTGATGTGGGCCGCTCATGCCAGCCAGCTGAACCCTGGCGTCGCCGTCCCCCGCTTCAACTTTGGCGGGTGGCTTGGGCACTCTCGGCAGGCAATAAGCAGTATTTTGTCACACCACTTTCATTCCAACGGCAGTGGCAGTGACAGCTCGGATTACACAGTAACCTTCTTGCCGGGACGAAAAGCGAGCTCGTAACGAAAAAAGATATCAAAATGGTCTGATATGTACGGCCCGAGTTGATTTGACTTGCCTAGATTAGACCATCAGTCCAGAAGTCAGTATCTCAATCTGTTCATGATTTTGCGAAGTCTTTGCCGGGTATTCGTATACACAGATCTAGTCACATATCGTCTCTTAACCTTTCTTTCATAGCCAGGGAGCCTCTCTCAAGGCACTCCTTCCTAGCCCGAGACAGCTCATAACGTGTCAAGTGAAAGGACTTCTTCGTACATGTGACATGAAAAGTCTCATTGCTTACAAAAAGGTATGAAGATTGATAAATTGGTAATGTGCTGTGCGTTTCATGTGTTCAAATATACATCACTTTCAATTTGTGCTGGGTCATACTGTGTTCCATAATCCTCGAGTGGCGGACGAGAGACATATCACTTGAGCGGATCTTCCCCATATAAACTGAATGAGCTTCCTTCGCATATCATAAATCCTGTGTAGGAAACACTAAGTCATAATAAGACGTAGTCAAAACTTTTCCATTACACTTTCTATCAGTTTTTCTTCACCGTGGAACTTGTTCCAGCTCCTTCATTCTCACCACTGGACACAACCGAGCACAAAGAATGGAGCTTTCGTAAAATTCTTCACTTGCTTCGTTTTTTGAGTCTATATTAGCTTGATTTCATGGAGATTTCGAAGCATGTCATTTTCAACAGAAGCCGTTCCGTTCCAACCGGATAAAATCACTTCGTTCGTTATGCTTGGTTTTGATTGGTTACCAGTCTCTTGGACATTTAGCCATGCCGAGTCAGCAGGCTATCACCAGCGCTGAAGTTCTATTAGATTCTTACTCACTGGTACTATTTTTCAAGTCTTCGGCTTTTTCCAATCTACGGCCATACTGGAAAATCGTGTTACGCAAAAAGACCATGTCTCCTTCATTCATTGGCGAGAAAATTAAATACAGTGAAAAAGAAGTGCCAAAATTCGGCGAGCTTCCTTTTGATCATTTCGTTCTGGTATGTATACCTCATAATGTGTAGTGCCACAAGAGACATCAATCCTAACAATGACCTGTTGTCTTTGTAGGAGGAATGGGATGTAGCAAGCACGAAAAGCGAGGCTGCTCAGAGAACCGATCTGGTCAAGGCATGGCTAGCTCTAGGCAGTCAAGGGCGGCTGGTACGCCCATGCATCTTCCCATGGTCGCCGTCGTACTCTGGACTACTGACTGAGTGGCGGCCAGAGATATCACCACTCACATGCAATTGTTTGGTCAACTGACTCAGTAAATCTTCCTGATGTTCCCACTGGTGTACCGACATCTCTTCAAACACCACAACAGCGTTCCGAGATATCAAACGAGTGTCCCCAAACCATATGGGTGCGTACATGGTACGGCAACGAGGAAATTAGCAGAGAGATGTCAGATGAGGGATACAGAAAAGTATGTGAGCACACAGCTGAGCATACAGGCGAGTTCATTCGAGGCAATTTTGCTTTCGAAGACCACGAAGGGTTGCTGGCTGATCGAATTGCGGCTTCTACGGTCACTGGAGTCACGCCACCATATGTCCAAAGGATATTCGAGATGTACCCCGACATTCTTGAGACGGGCGGCGGATTAAGAAAAGGCGATGAAACCTACATCCTTGGTGGACAAGGAGTGAGAAAGCAACGCCTGATGCTAGTCGTTATCGACAAGAGAGCCTGTCGGACTGGGGCGGTACTCTTGCTCGGTATTGATGATTTCGGCCAGATGGTACCTCAAAGACTACGAGTCAAGCCAGGAGATGTCCATCAATTATGTGCGAATTGGGAGGATGGGCAGAGGCTTGATGAGAACTTTTGCGAGGGAGAGGATGGAGAGGTGGACTGGTTTTTGGGGGAAAGTGCGTGGATTTCTCCTTTTACTCGACTTTGCTCGGATGAGCATCGAGCAAGAGAACTTTGAGTAGACAGAGAGCAATGCCTTAGCAGCTTCAGAGGTACTGATAAGAGTGGAAGATCAGCTGTAGATGTGGTCTGGGATTATGCTCATGATGGTGAAAAATATTAATAAATCAGCGACCCCGCTATAACCCCACCATGGCTTGAAATTGAGACTAGAATATCTCTAGCCGGAGTCAAAAACACTTCGAGCAGCATATCTTTATAAGAATAGATACTAAAAACATGTGTACCCAGATAGCGTTATAAGAGAAACCAATAACCCAAAAGAGCAAAAAGGAAGAAATTTTTCAATGATCACTACGAGGGTCGAACTCGCGACCTTGGCGTTATTAGCACCACGCTCTAACCAACTGAGCTAACTGTAACTTTGTTAGTTGTTGTTGATTCGAACACATGATGTGTGAACTTACGCGATCTTTTTGTATGCTGACTTGACGAGAAGTGCTTATTTGGTTACTTGTAGGCAATAGTCAAATGCCGGGAATGCTCCTTTTAGTGTGTGAGTCAATGTGCCGAGGAAGCCCTAGCTTAGCGAGATGACTCTCTCCACTCGACTCATCACCTGAGTGCTGGTGCGACAATTGATTTCGATTTCATGTCATGGGGATGAGATTTAAGCTTCTTTCTTTCGATATTTGGCTGGCCCGGTCTTTCCTTGTTGGAAAACCAGTAATATTTGTCGGCCCCACAGTGATATCTGTTTACTTCAACTCGCTTATCCCCCCCTGAATGGCCAAGAGCTGACGCTCATAGCAGAGCTACATTGGACGGCCTTCCTTTTGTTCCATGTATACTCGATGATCCTGTCAATAAAAATTAAGTCTTTAAAAGTAGACGAAATGTCTCGTCTCGACCTGTGCGTTAGCAGGACAGAAGGCGCGCTTAGAACTGGATGCTATAAATCTCTCAACTAGAATATCTCTTAAGGAAGTTTCTAGGTTACCACTTACAAGTCAATAGACTCGAGTGATTGTATCATGGCTCAGAGAAACTAGTGATACCATTCACCCTCGAGGCAAGATTGTACTCTCCTTTCTTGACGGCTCGAACCAACCGGAATCTCGACACATGGTTTGAATAATACATATCTGCAATATCATCAATCATACATGAATAATGTTTTCTAGAAAGTAAGTCTTAAGGTCCATAAATAGTTCCAATGACCCCATTCCTATTTCTCAAATCAACAACACTCTCTTCTTCAGATTTACCAAATTCAAACACTTCTCCAGATCAAGGCATCCACCATCTCGACAGCCACACCATAAGCCCCATAAGTTCACAACAAATACAAACTCAAGAACCAAACATGATCCGCCTTCGCATTGGCGAATGGGTATTCGTAGGCCCAGCGTGTAACAACGGCCTACTTTTGACCAACACAGGGACTAATAATGCTGCTATTCAGCCTTCTCCACGAACACCCCTACCAAACGGTCAGCCCGGCTCTGGTATACCTTCCGGATACGTGCCAGGATACAATCATAGTGCTTATGCACAACGATACAATCCATTTTTAGATCCCTATTTCTTCTATCAGAGTAGAGGTTTGAGGGGCTTGAAGCGGCATTTGCCACTTTTGTTGAATCGGAGTCAGGCTTGGTCCTGACCCATTGAGCGAGCGTGATCTTTTCTCATTGTAGAGCTATTGTTGCATTGGAAGAATAATTGGGAATTGTCAGGGATGACTATTAGACAGAATCAAGAAAATTCCCAATCACAAAACTGATCATCTTTATCTCTTACCATCGTGACTCGCTTCCAAGCTGTGAGTATTAATCAACGAAAACCATCCTTTGAAACCTCAAGACAGATCAAGGTAATAACCGCGGCCGACATTGTATGACAAGCGATGGACTGTAGCGGAGCTGGTACGTATCGGGGACGAGGGAGGGAGGGAAGAGGGGGGATGTCGAGGCATCTGAGAAAATTTGCCTTTTGCTCTAAGTTATGGCTTGCTCTCAGCTGTAGTCGACAAACCGCTTGTGAATATTAGTGGTTGCACAAGGCTGCCGTTCAGAAAAGGTGCTATTTCTGGGTCTAAGAGAATTGCCATGACCTTGCAGATAAACGAAAACTAAAATTGATCATGACTTTCAACAAACAAATCGAGTCCCAAGGCACGACAGAAGAAATGTCGTGAATCAGCAAGGCTTTTGTTATCATTCATAGACCACCCACACCTTACAAGTTTGCCTTCGCACCAATCTGCCCAACCAGAAACTCCTCGATATACCGATTGACATCCGCTGGCTTCTCCCACAGCGCCCAGTGACTAGCATTAACCTCTCCCCTGGTCAAACTCCTGAAGAACTTATCCATCCCCTTACTCATGGCTGGAGGTAACGCAGCATCTCTCGTGCCCGCAATGAACAATGTAGGCATATCGAACTTGAAGCCCTCCATCTTCTCCGCCAGCTCTTTCTCGTCCTCAAAATTGAGCTCCTGGGTTCGGTACCAGTTCAGAGGGCCATGCAAGCCTTTCATGGCATAGCGCTTGACGTAGAAATCTACTTCATCTTTGGTGAGGAGGGGTGTTGGTCCGATTTCTGGGAGAACGTTGAAGTGGACGCCTTTGGAGGTGGAGAAGCCTGGTTCGCCTTTGGGAGTGCGACCGCCGTACATTGCGTTGAGGAATTGTCGGAGTTTCTCTTCGCCGACGATTTCGGCTTCGACTTCCGGGCCGCGGAGGTGGATCTGATACTTGAAGTTGGGGAGCACAGTGGAGTCGAGGAACTCTTTTCTGGGTGATCCGAAGGGTGTGCAGATGCTGATGATGGCTGATATGAGCTTGGGATAGTGGAGTGCGAAGCGGTAGACAACGGCTCCTCCCCAATCGTGTCCTCCCAAGATGATGCTCGATAGACCAAGCTGTTGGGCGAGTGTAGCCATATCGTCAGACGCTCGTTTGTAGGTGTAGAATGATGGAGACTCTGGTGCGTCTGTGCCAGCATAGCCCATCATGTCAGGAGCCACGACTCGAAGACCGAGTGATACAAGATGAGGAATTTGATATCGCCATCCGAATGAGATGTCTGGCCAGCCATGAACAAGGAAAATGGTGTTTAGAACTTTGCCCTGTGGCTCAGCTAAGATGTAACTGTAATTGATACCGTTGAGATTGGCTGTTTTATATTGAACCCGAGAGTCGTTAGGGGAGAGTTTGTCAACCATGTTTAGGATCCGATTCAGAGAATGATGTTGTTGGTGCAAGGCTGAGAACTGAAGCGGGGTGATGTTGGCAGCTTTATACTTTGTGCAAGGCTGAATCCGTAGATCTGCCGTACCTCGGCGATTTGAGATGCATAGTGACCCGCAGTGCGGTGGGACGAGGGCACTCCATCGGGTTTGCTCTGTAACCATGCCCTATGCTTTTCATTTGCAGGAAACGTACGGGCAATCCCAGCATCGGTCTGGCGGTCAATCCAACGGGTTCTTACGCCCGCAAGACGTGTTAATGCAGATCTTGTGTCTAATTCAATCAGTTGTATCACGTGGGACCCAACTTTCCTTCCCTTCTGAGGGAAGTCCTCTTAACATTTGCCGATGGCTTTGAACGGCTGAAACAAATTTTCCGCTAGATCAGAGCAGATATATGTACAAGAAAGTTGCGGGTCGCCATTCTGCCCACAGAATGGATACCTGGCACATTTCGAGCAAAGCCGAGACATCCACGGAAATCAGATCAGAGACTGGCCTTGCTGAAATCAGTAAATCACCGTGTCCTCGTCGTTTTCGACGACCACTTCGCCATTGTGCTCCTCCTGAGCCTGCTTCTCCGCCTTCTGCTCTGACTGGTGTATTTGTACGGGGGAATTAGTAGTATCATCAACTTTGGAAACAGACGGAGACTCGGCTTGAGGCTCACCCACCGTCTCCTTAGACGTGCTGTTAGATCTTTCTTCCTTCTCTTTCCTACCAGGTCGGTTCGGATGCCGCAAATCGAATTGTGACGTCTCTCTCTCGATTGTTGCTTCGGCTTCCTTAATCTGGGTTTTGATTCGTTCTTCGTCTCGAGGTAGTAATTCCCATGGCTTGTAGTACTGTGCTAGCAGTCAACAATGAGCTCATCTGACAGCACTCGTCTGCGTTAGGGAGAAGTATACAATTTTAGGTTCTGACTTTGTACACAAAAAGTTTGCCATAGCCAGAAGGTTGGAATGTCGTGTTCGCATCTGTTAGTAGTCAGCGCCAAGCTAATCTCTCCGGGAATGGTTCAATTGACCTCTGCTTCGTCGTATATGATCTGCTCTGCCTTCCGGATAGCCTTCAAGTCCGCGAGCTTCTCCCTCCTCCGCGCTTCGTCCGCTTCTTTCTGTTGTTTAACTTTCTCATGCTGGCGCTTCTCGATTTCCAGCCTCCTCTTCTGCTGCCCATTCGGTGTACTTTGACTCAATGTGCTAAGGAGTCCACCGAATAATCGCTGCCCACGCTTCTTCTCTTCCTGCACACTGCTTTTCCGTCTGTTTTGCGGCCCGTCATCGGTTTTGGATTCTAGCTCGGCTTTCGAGTGCTCGATTGGCTGTGGAGAGTCGCGCAGAGTAGGAGGAGAGTGACTGCTTGCATCGACGGATAGCCGGGGACGTTTTGATGTCGAGTCCGAGGCTGATGATTGTCGTCGCTTCAAGGGAGTTGTAACTGCTTCAGCCTCGGGGATAACGACTGCTGAAGCGATTGGGCTGCCCAGATATTAGCATTCGCGTGACAACGCGGACAAAAGAAACATACCCATCAGCATCGGCCATGTTCAAGCCTCTGCTTAGCAATACTATCCGAAGCCTGGTGCTGTCCAGAGAATCGAGGAAAGGCTGAGCAACCTCACTTCGGAGCAGGTGGCACTTGTCCCAATTCAGGCTAGTGATGGTCCGTGCTTAGCAAGCAACTTTGGAACTTTATGGTGGCGGGACATTTGTTATGAGTGCTTCAAGTCCATCAACCTCGTCTTTTCTACCCGACACCTTCAATATACACCTGAAGCTTGCCTCGAGCTGAAGCTACTTGCAAAAAACATTTCAAGACCACCGATAGCGATCTAGAACCTCATAATGTCTCGTCATCATCCGTAAGTTCCCCTGTCTTGCCCCTCCAAAACTTTGTCACTTCCCAAACCCCCTCCTACCCATACTACAAGAGGCTTCAGTATACTAACAATATCTCCAGCGATCTCGTTATGTGCCGCAAGCAATCAGGCATCGCCATCGGACGCCTTTGTGATAAGTGCGACGGCAAATGCCCAGTGTGCGACTCCTACGTCCGACCAACAACACTTGTACGAATCTGCGACGAATGCAGCTTTGGCAACTATCAGAACAAATGTGTCGTATGCGGCGGTGAGGTATGTATCCAGTACATCTACGCCTACAGTA